ATATATATATATATATATATATATATATATATATATATATATATATATATATATATATATATATATATATATATATATATATATATATATATATATATATATATATATATATATATATATATATATATATATATATATATATATATATATATATATATAATTTTGGGACAAAAGGAGTCTCACATAACTGTTACGAATATAGTAGTTCAGAGATTCCCTTAACCAAGCGTTTTGTCTGTATTTAAATGCATTTATTGATAATTGTCAGGTTTTGAAGAAGGCTTTCTACAGTGGATACCAAGATACTGTATTCTTTCTACAGCAAAACAGTAAGTTTTACCATCACATTTAACACATAAACATGTAGTTTATAATTTATTCACTTATATTTTACTTTACTATACACACATACATACGGTACATGCATAAAATATTATTTTGTTCCTATGGCACAACAAGGTAACAATGCTTTTAGAACATGAATGCTTGGAGTTGTTGGATAATCTACAATGTGATCAATCAAGGAATAACAAGTAAAGACTCCATAATTGTATTGATATTATTTAACGTTGATATTATTTAATATTATGTAAAAAAAATCCATATAAATTTTTCTGTAATTTTGATTGAATAAAGGCAGCCCTATAAAGCAGAGCACCTTTTCTTCTTATTTTCTTCTTCAAAAAAAAAACTTTTGATCACTATTTTCCTATGACTGGAATCACATTGTTTAAATAAAGTTATGCAAGCAATAACACTGACAACAGAAAGACAAAAAACTTACGTGTCCACTTTTGTTGACTCAAAACAATAGTTCCTTATCTTGATAAAAAAGCCTAAGCTATATTGAAATAATTTAAAGAATTACAAATATCACATATAATAAAATCACATTACATAAATAAACCAATATAAAACAAATAAAAGCAAGCTATAACAATGTAGGTATATGCAGTACATAAATCAAACCATTTTAAAGCCATATTAAACTTTTATTTTACAAAGGCCTATCTGAAAAAGAGATTTTAGATATTTTCTAAAAACAATAAACACAGAAGGAGGTTTGAAATATTATTTTAAAGTATTTGAATACAATATTAATTAAATTGTGCAAACAGAGCATCTTTTGGGTAAGTGAAAGCAGAAACTAGGCTACCTTTTTTCTGTCATCCAGTCCTGCAAATACAAAATGTGTTTTATGGCCTCAAATAAGTGTTTATGTTTTTATATTACGTGGTAAAATTAAAAAATGACATTTTAAATATAGAGCTTTATTAGTGAAACGCTGCAGAGCAGAACAAATTATAGGCTATATTTTGTTACTTTCTCTTATGTGCTGAAACACTTAACACTTTGCTTTAGATCACCGAATAATATGCAACATTTTTAAATAAATTAATTTAAAAATAAATAAATTACCTATTAAGTGTGATATAGCCTATAGGGAAAAATGTATATGTTTTAGGTCTCTCCGGAGCATTTGGGCTGAATGTTTGATGACGTCTATCAGAACAAGGATGTTAAAAAATACATTTCAAACCGAGTTATTACCAGAGAATTTATGTGGTTTTATAATATGGATGGGTGCTCTCACTGCCCTGGGTCCCTCCATTAGTGGCGAGACCACTCGATGCACAATGCCAACAGTTGGTCGGCGAGTAATTGAATATAATGAATAAAAACACACAGCCCTGTGAGTATAGTTATACAATGTAATTCTGTACAGTAACGTGTCGTTTGTTTGTTTCGGTTGTCTTCATTTTACTCATTTAGTGATGATGCGATGGTGTGCTTTATCTGCCTGATTCCCGCTGAAGTGGACGGGTTGTGTGACATTTGATTCGGGGGACGTTCTGGGGGCGGGGTTTGCGTGACACGCTGCGAGCTACTAGCCCAACAGTGGAAACGCGACATGATTTCAGCCTCACTGCTCACCTCCTGGGCGATTGGCCCGGCCCGGCCAGATAAAAGCCCTGGCTCTCACTGGCCCCTGCTAAAAAATCCAGCTTAAACCAGCCTAGGCTGGTTGGCTGGTTTTAGCTGGTCGACCAGGCTGGTTTTAGAGGGGTTTTGGCCACTTCCAGGCTGGTTTCCAGACATTTCCAGCCTGGTCATAGCTGGTCAAGTGGTTTTATCTGGATTTGGCTGGTCATTTTCCAACCTGACCAGCTAGGACCAGGCTGGAAATGGCTGGAAACCAGCCTGGAAATGGCCAAAACTCCTCTAAAACCAGCCTGGTCAACCAGCTAAAACCAGCCAACCAGCCTAGGCTGGTTTAAGCTGGATTTTTCAGCAGGGGCCCGACAGTGGAAATGCAGCTAGTAACTACCTAGCCCCTCATCCCGCAACTTCATGTGCTTTCACCCATCAGTGTGGGTAAGTGGGTTTGTGACCAGCACTCATAGCGGTAGGACCGAATGGCTGCTGTCTTTATTGGACTATATCCACATCCCCTGTTACGATGTTATGTCTATGTTTATGTGTTTATGTGCTTGGTTGCTGGGGCTTTTTCCTCCTGATCTCACACTGCCCTAATTAAAGGCCAGTGTGAGAGGGTTTTTTTTTCACCTCCCTTTTTCCCAAATGTGTCTTATTTCCTCTTTCTAAAAAGCTACCTCTCGTCTGACCTGTCTTCCCCTGAAAGGTGTGATGTTTGCGTATGGTGAGAGGGGGTCCAATTCTGCAGCATGTGAAAGTGTATGTAACAAATAAAGGCTTCATCATAATCTGAGAGGGGTCTGGCTGCAGACCTGCTGCAGTGCAATCTGGGCTGCATCCAATGCTTTTTAATAGGCTCACCTAACCCCACCCCTAACCCTACCCGTCACAGTGACGTCACTAGCTCCATTTGAGTGCATTGTGTCTGACATTGCATCGCTGAGTGATGCAGTCTCAGCTTGCATCATAAAGGCTGCATCCAGATACTATTGCATCATCTTGAAGAACGTTTTATGCAGTTTATGCAACCCCTGTTCACTTGCTTTTGGCTGCTCTGTCATAATAACTGTCTCCAACACCCCGACAGATGCTTTGCCATTGTACCCTCAGAGGAGAAAGGAGTCGGATGTGTCTGATGATTCACTGAGCTCAGATCACTGGATGTTAACACAGACTAATGAGGCTGAAAAAGACGAATCCCAAAAAGACTCGCCAGAGCAGCCCGAAGACAAGAGCATCAATGGAGATTGCTCATCTGTGAGTCCAAACCCAGTAAAAGTCCAGGAAGGTACTGTAGTCTCCCGTGTGCATTTCTGATGATGGATGAATGATTATAGAAGAGTAAAACGAGTATTTTCTTTTCTAGTGCTGCTGTGTAACATCATGAGTCAGCTGGAGATCATCGGTAATTCTAAAATCTCTCTGCTTCAGAGGCTGCTCTCCTATGTGCTCTTACTGTTCACATTGCCAATCTGGAGTATCACCAACTTATGGGACAGGTATGCACCCAACTTCAGTTCATTTTCGAAACTTGTGTTTGCAATGCACATGTTCACAATGCAGCTGAATGCAACTTTTTGTTTTGATAAAAAACCTGACCTATTTTCAAAAAAATAACTCAAGGTTATGGTTAGGGGCAGTGCTTAATTTGTGAATTGCGAGGTCTAGGAACAGATCGGGGTAACGGGGTTATCGGGCATGTTACCCGAGTATGGAGAGTAGAAACTATACAAGAAAGTTGGGGGGGTGATGACGGGGGAGAAGAGCAGTTGAGGAGGAGGATCGTTAAAATGAGGAGCCGGATCAGATTTTAGAGGTGCCGGATCCGGCGTGTTAAGCCCTAGTTATGCCGAGTTCAGACTGCATGATTTTCAAAGTAGTCGTGTCACAGATGTTTTCACACTGCATGACTATCTGGGCTAGCGTTTCATCGCTGCTTTGTTTACACTGCAAGATGGTTCGGCAACAGGGGCTTTCACATTGCATGACTTTACTATAGGAAGAATCGCCGACAACTTCGTCCAAATTACGTCTCACAACCAAAAACACGTAGTATATCTTTTGTTATTAACTACATAATGAGTAGGAAGCCTTCAATGGGGTGGAAAATGTACATATTTGCTCACCTGGGTTTAAAGGGAATTAGCCATTTCTCCTCAACGTTGTTAATAAACTAATTTCTTTCTGTATGAAACGTCAAACAGACACGGTTGCTCCTGAGTCCTGTCAAACCTCCACTAGTTTTTCCTCCATTTCGTGGGTCCAAATAAACCGAAAAAGAGCGCTTTTAACTTCTCCCCCAGCCTCCCGCTGGCCTGCAGCAGGTATACACACACGCACACGCAAGTGAATGCTGCTCTCTCATTGGCTATAGGCGATCTCTGATGTTATTTTCAGGCAAAACTCAATTCACACGACATGATTTCAATCGCCGACAGCTCCAGATATTTAGCATGCCAAATATCTCACAGGCATCGGCGACTCATCGGCGATTCTGTCAGATCGCGTCTTTGATAGTTCATACTGTGTGATTGTCACTCACGTGCACGAGCACCGATTTGCCTGTGATTTCAGACATTATTTGTCGGCGATTTCTCAAAACCTGTCGGCGAGCCAAAATCGGGGGTAAAATCACGCAGTCTGAACTAGGCATTAGGGGCATCTTGGCAGTCTTGGTTTTCTTACCAATTGCTTAGGCATATGTTTTATGCAGCAGATGCCCTTACAGAAGCAACCCAGCGCTGAGAGTAAGGGTGCTTTAACATCTGTGGTTCGGTTTATTTGGTCTGGACCAAGGGCAATAATGATGCATTGTAGCATTTTCTGTCGTCTTTGGGTTGTTTTCACACCACACTGCTGGCTTTGGTCCGAACCAGTTGGAAAGAACCAAAATGCACATCACTCATTGGCCAGATGTTGTTGAACATAATTCCTAGACTGCTTATCGATTGGTCAGAATTCACGTGCGGGAAAATGCCAATGAACTCCCGCAAGTAAACAAACCGGCAGACACAAAATGTCGCTTGTTACTATGGAGAGACGACTGCGCTGACTGATTGTATCCCTGGTCATAGTATACTATACAGTTTGCATACATCACTTTAGACAAACTATACATTTTGAGACTGAAGCGCAGCCTGCTGCTGGAAAACAATGTTTTAATGCATCGCACGTCACTTTAGGGGGAGGAGTGAATTAATTTAGCTAAACTGCGACATGGTCATCTTGTAGAAATATTACCAACGATCCATCAGGTGATGCTTTTCCTTCTCTCACCTTCATTTGGTAAAGCGGTGATAACAAATATTTTTCCTTCACATCCCATAATGCACAGCGCATCGGCCTACAGCAGCTGGATTAGTCTAAAAGGCGCTGTACTTTTTGCGGTTGGGCCTGTTTTAGTTCGCATCATATTCTCACCACAAACTAGCCACTCCAGGGTTCGTTTGACAACATACTGAGACCACCTCTTCAAGCAGGTCTCGGTACGCTTTTTTGGTCCGCTTCTGGTTCGCAGTCGAGTACGATTGCTACATTCAAACCTGCCCAAACGAACCGCACCAAAAGGGAAAACGAATTCTAGTGATTCAACCCCAACTAAATAAGGCAGGTGTGAAAGCACCCTAAACTAACTTGTGAGCCAACAGTGCTGGGAAATACACATACATTCATTTTCTTGTCAGCTTAGTCCCTTTATTAATCCGGGGTCGCCACAGCGGAGTGAACCGTCAAGTTATCCAGCAAGTTTTTACGCAGCGGATGCCCTTCCAGCCTCAACCCATCTCTGGGAAACATCCACACACACACTATGGACAATTTAGCCCACCCAATTCACCTGTACAGCATGTCTTTGGACTGTGGGGGAAACCGGAGCACTCAGAGGAAACCCACGCAAAGGCAGGGAGAACATGCAAACTCCACACAGAAACGCCAACTGAGCCGAGGTTCGAACCAGCGACCTTCTTGCTGTGAGGCGACAGCACTACCTACTGCGCCACTGCCTCGCCCAATACACATACACTCTTTCTTATTTACACACTCTTCGGCCAATATTTTAGTTTATCAAATTCATCTATACTGCATGTCTTTGGTAGTATCCGGAGCACCTGGAGGAAACTCATGCAAATATGGGCAGAACATGCAAACTCCACACAGAAATGCCATGGGGTTCAGCTGGGATTCAAACCAGCATACTTTATGTGATGCTAACCACCACCAACGACTGAGCCGCCATACTTTTTTTTAATTATTATTATTATTAATAAGCGTACATTCTGGTTCTGTTGTTTTGATACAAAAATTATTTTGAACCATCACTAATTTTAATTAAATGCATAAAAGTTGCATTCAGAGCTATACATTGATGACAATAATAATGGTTTTAACCAAAATCTGCACGATTGAATTTGTTGTTTTACAGGTACCAGAATTGGCTCTCCGATGCTGCAGTTGTGTCGTACTGGCTCTGGCATAGCTTGAAAGTATTTATGATGTTTGTACTGAACATCTATTTTTCCACTTTGAGGAAAGCCCTTGGAGACATGTAAGCACAGACACCCCAAAGTATTAACATTTGCATTATAATTACAGTACAGAAATACAATAACGGTTACTTTTTCATCAGTCTGATCAAATTTCTACCTGAGCAAGTTCACGATGAGCACCGAAGGTCCAGAGAGAAGGCTGAGAGACATGAGGTCTCCTCCAACATGAATGGAGAGGCCTCTTCTATTGTCCTGGGGAGTGTCTCTATGGCTCAGACCCTGCCAAAACTCTACGCAGTCCTGTTTTTACTAGAGGCAGAGAGCAAATGGAGAAAACGCAAGATAGAGGTGCAACACACACTACAGCAACAAGTGGCTGCAAAAAAAACGAGTTAAAACTGTGCAAGAAATGTGAAAGCATTGATTTTTTTTAAAAGCTAAATACTGAATTCGTATTCAAATATGTACTAACATTTGAAACAATGCTCTAGATCAGGGGTCCTCAACCACCAGATCACAGCTCAGTACTGGGTTGTGAAAGGGTCACACCATTGCTCTACAGTCCCTGACAAAACTTTTGTCGCTTAACTATTTTGTTGAAACACCTGCTATTAACCTGACTTTTAATCAATGGGTGTTAGAAATAGCTCAAGTGAAAAGCTAAAAGCCTCCCAAATGATGTTTAAAGCATTGAAATAAATTAGTTTCACCTAAAAAAGATGTATCATTTAAATAAGACTAAAAAGTCAAATTTTGGTGCGAGAAAAGTTTAAACAAATTTACTGCAAATACAAAAATACGTCAGCAAATTAAGTAGTGGTGCTATGAGATCCAAGTTTAATGTCTTGTATGACTTCCATGAGCTTGAATGACTGCTTCCATGCGGTTTGCCAAGGATTCATACATTTATTTATTGACAAAGGCAGTCGTCTTGCATGCCTCCCAGAGTTCATTACTATTTGGTTTCGTTTTCCATGCTTCCTCTTTCTTCCTACCCCACGTTTTCTCAATCATGTTCATGTCAGGTGACTGGGCTGGCCAATCCTGGAGCATCTAGCATCTTAGTGTTTAAGTTCAGTTCAGTTTAGCTCAGTTTAGTGTGGTGTAAAATCATTACTGAGAGCCTAAACACTGAAGAGCAAATTCATCGATGAGTAGCTCTACCAATCCCAAACCAAGCAAGCTAGAGGCGACAGGGGAGAGGGAAAAAAACATCACTGATTGGCGAAACCAGAATCAGTTGGGCATGACCATTTTAATTTCCCCACTGGCCAAACGTCTTGTGCAGAGCTGCAGTCTCAGCGGTGGAGTTAATAAAAAAATGGTCTAATCAACATGAGTTCAAAAAATGTTGGTCAACATGTTCTGTAGATCATGTGATTACATTTTGGTGAAAATCAATCAAATGGCCTAGGACTTAGGAACATAGAAATAGCACAAAATAAATAAATAAATCATGAAAGAAAATGACGTCATAGGGTGAATTTTGAATCGGCCTGAGCCCAGGAATCAGGAAAAAATCATTTTGATTGTAGCTCTTTTGGTTCAAAAGTTTTAATAATAAACATAAGTGAAATTTTGAACAAGTGCTGGTGCTAGAAAGTTTGCGTTAGAGAGTTCGGTAGCACATTATATTAACTACACACTATGAATCATTTACTAAGCATTAACTTTTAGTAAATTCATAATTTGTTAATCATTAACTCTATATTAATAAACTAGTAAGCAGTTTATAACTGCAGCTACAAATGCTCTATTCTTGACTTATAAGCACCTATATAATGTGCTTAATAATTGTATTTTCATACTTAGTTATTGATTTATTTTCATTACTAAATTAAGTATTGCATTATTTACAAACCAGTTGTATTTAGGAATAGTTGAGGGTTTTTAGGATCATTCAGAATGAGTTAGTAAATGATTAATAAACTATTGAAATCAACATGTATATGTCTTATTATTCAGGCATATACTAATAGTCAACTAATATGTTAATGAATGCTGTATTAACTCAACTTCATGTGGTTTTGTGACCCAATCTAAAGTGAGGACTGATTATGCTTTATAAATCCCTTATAAATGACTTTTAAAGGCTCAGAATCAAATGAACAACAACATTTGCAATCTTTTTTAAAAAGTAAAATGAATGTAAAGTTTAAACGTTGCTGAATAACAGAAGTGTCAAAATACGACACAAAACTGGAAAAAAACAACAATATAATAATTTAACAATGTAATAAAATGTAATGTTTAAACTCTGCAGTGATTTTATTTTAGATAAGGCTGCAAAGATTTATTTTTCGTTTGAAGTACAGTTTCATTTGTGTATCTTGAATTGAATAGGAATGAATAATGTCATTTTCCCTGTTTAGAATTTAACTGAGCCTTTATTTGTCATTTATAAAGGATTTATAAAGCATGAATAGTCCTCACTTTAGATCAGGTCACAAAATTAGATGAAGTTGAGTTAATAAAGCATTTATTAACATACATAGTAACCATTAATATATGCCTGAATAATAAGACATATAAATGTTGATTTCAATAGTTTATTAATCATTTACTAACTCATTCTGAATGATCCTAAAAACCCTCAACTGCTCTTAAATACAAATGGTTTGTAAAAAATCCAATACTCAATTTAGTAATGAAAAATAAATCATTAACACAGTTTGAAAGTACAATTATTAAGCACATTTTAAATATGTTTGTAAGTCAAGAACAGAGAATTTGTAGCTGCAGTTATAAACTGCTTACTAACGTTTAATAATGTAGAGTTAATGCTTAACATTTAATGAATTCACTATTTGCTAATGCTTAATAAATGATTTATAGTGTGTAGCTATTATAAAGTGTTATCGAGAGTTCAAATGTGTTGTGGTTGAAGATCAGACTGTCGTCTATCAGTGTGACAAAGTTTGCGCAAACGGTTCATAGGGCTCCCATAGACTCCCAGAGCAGAAGAAGAAGAGAATGAAGCTGGAATAAAATAATAAGAAGAACCAGAATGCACGTTTGGTGCTTGCCCCCTAAAAATCACCATATAGTTTTGTGTATGTGTACGCCTTCAGGGACTAGCGGGACAGGAGCTGTTTTCAGCGTCAATTGCAATCGAGAGTAATTTTGCTTTAGCATTGTTACAAAAATAATATATATAATTTTGTTGTCTGCTTAATATAATTTTCTAACAAAAGAAAACATGAAATCTGTCTGTGCTTGCAGACATGGATCTGTGTTATTGCCTTTTAAATAAATATTCAAACTGCTTAAAGTAAACATTGTTTTATTTGTGTTGTTTTGAAGAGTACTCAGACATACTGTAAATGTGATTGTAAATCATAAATCATATAAGTGAAAAGGAGTGGAGGTTTGCCTGTAAGATCCACTTAAACGCAGTTCAGAATTCATATTGCACCTACTCAAGCCAACTTATGAATAGGTGGCTAAATCACAGGACTGATTGCGTCAATCTCTGACTTCAAACTCCAGGAATTGGTTGAATAGATTAGCTACGGTGTTCAGTGTTTTTATCCTGGACCTCCTGAAATGTCAAGGGTGGCTAATACAGTTCCAGAAACCACTACTGTCATTCACATTTACTCACAAACAAACGCTGCCATTCTTCCACGCTCACCATTTATAAAGACATTTTTTTCTCCAAACCCTCTACTGCACGCACTATGATTTATATGAAAAAAAATGTGACTGTTTTTCTTTTCTTAGAATGGCTTAACTTGAAGTTCTGTAAAAAAAAAAAAAACTGTGAGAAAAGGAATGCTTGAGGTACTTTATGAGATGTTGCCATACGGCAACAATGTCCAGCAATGGATCTAACTTAGAAGTTTCTAATTTCATTAATTCATTTATTTTCTTGTCGGCTTAGTCCCTTTTATAATCTGGGGTCGCCACAGCGGAATGAACCGCCAACTTATCCAGCAGGTTTTTACGCAGCGGATGCCCTTCCAGCAGCAACCCATCTCTGGGAAACACACACACATACACTCATACACTACGGACAATTTAGCCTACCCAATTCACCTGTACCGCATGTCTTTGGACTGTGGGGGAAACCGGAGCACCCGGGAGAACATTCAAACTCCACACAGAAACGACAACTGAGCCGAGGTATATATATATATATATATATATATAAACAGAATTATTAGCCCCCCTGTTTATTTTTCCCCCAATTTTTGTTTAAAGGAGAGAGTTTTTCAACACATTTCAGAGTGAAGTTTGTTTATAAACTAATTTCGAGAGGATCACGTGCTTATGATTTATCACGGCCGGTCTCGTTTTAGCTAATCATTATCTTCCAATCATATGAGCCCTAAGCTACTATAAAAAAACACAGTTTTCAGTCCACTTTATCTTCATTTGGAAGAAACCCCCCTTCTTCCCCAATTCTCCTTCTTGACCATTGATCGGGCGGCACGGTGGCCCAGTGGTTAGCACTGAGAGCCTCACAGCAAGAACACCACCGGCCTAGTTTCGCCGGTATTTCTGTGAGGAGTTTGTATGTTCTCCCCGTGTCCGCGTGGGTTTTCCCCGGGTTCTTCGGTTTCCTCCCACCGTCTAAAGATATACATCATGCTTAAGAATCAAGCATGCTTTAGCCCCCTTCTCAGGTGTTCCCTTAGCTATCGCAGTCGGGGAGTTCTGAGATCCACCGAGCTCAGGCTCCCCTCTAGCTCTTCGAACGGGGGGAAGCCCCGGGCCCGAGGATCCCTTGAGCTCGGGGCTCTCTCCCGGGACAGCATGCCAAACAAGCTTTGATAGATCATTAGCTAAGTGTGAACTCTTGAAACATAATAGTTTTAATAACTCATCTCTAATAACTAATTTATTTTATCTTTGCCATGATGACAGTAAATAATATTTGACAAGATATTTTTTCAAGACCCTCTTATACAGCTTAAAGTGACAATTAAAGGCTTAAATAGGTTAACTAGGCAGGTTAGGGTAATTAGGCAATTTATTGTATAATTATAGTTTGATCTGTAGACTATCGAAAAAAAATATAGCTTAAGGGGGCTAATAATTTTGATCTTAAAATGGAGTTTAAAAAAATTGAAAATTGCTTTTATTCTAGCCGAAATAAAACACATAAGACTTTCTCCAGAAGAAAAAATATTATGAGACATGTTGTGAAAACATCATTTGGGAAATATTTAAAAAAATATTCAAATGGGGGCTAATAATTCTGACTATAACTGTATCTATCTGTCTAAAAAAATGTATGAACGTGTCCCGCAGCACGAATGCTGCTAAAGTGGTGACTTAAGGCTCACTGGAGAAGACAAAAATAACAATTTTGAGAAACAACCTTTAGGTATATGTAGGTGTTGAGTTTGATAGTATGACAAATGAAACACTTGTTAAAAAAAAATGAAATAAATAAAAAAATAAAAGTTTTTCCAAAAATCCAAAATCTCAAAATTGAGTTTGTCGTCTCACCTTCAAATAATCTTTCTGTTTTAAGCCATTGTAAATATATTTTAGATACATGCCCAGTGTCACTTGATCGTGGGCTTTCTGTCATCCACCTTTTCCTGCATCCATGAGGAAATGAGAAACATGATATGAGAGGTGACCAGACTGCACACTTATAACAACACAACTTAAGCAATCTGCAAGAAACAGGAAGCAAAATGGGGAAATGAACAGAAATGAGTAACTGCTGTAACTTAATGTCTAACTCAGTTGTAAGAGATTGATTTGTTTTGAAACTCAAAACTTCCTCCGCAAGAGAAAAAATACAAAGCGTTCATTAGAATTAAAGCTTCTGTAAAATTGTACTGTCAGATAAAAATCCATGAACACATGATCATATGTCAAACTGGCTGAGAAGAGACATTTAGTAGATTCAGTAGAAGCAAATGATTTGCATATATGCAAAAATAATCATAAATAATAAAAAGTACTTGCTTCTAAATAAAGCCCTCCAATTTATTTATTATTTTGGTATTATTGATTTATGCAAATGATTAACCTCTGGTGCACGGTCAAACATTTATTATTAGAATGAGGTTAAAAGCAAATTGTTGTCCACAGGCACCTGTTATGAATTAGGCAGAAATATAAATTCCTGATCCTCTCATTCAAATTATGGGTGTCAAACATTTGGCTCTTTAATCCAGTCATGAGATGATTTGAACAATCGTATAAAATAGCAATAAAAAAAAACCGTATTAATTAATTTAATTAACTAATTTAATTAACTAATTAAAACCAGTGCTCGAGTCAGCAAACTTCTTGCTGTGAGGTGACAGCTCTACCCACTGCGCCACAACGTCACCTCTGTTTTGTTATTTACTTTAATGTCATAATAATCCAGTCCACATCTGAATACAGTTCTTAATCCATAATGCAAAGACCTTTATATTTATTATTCTGTATATTTATTAACGTGAAATATCGAAGGGCTGTATGACATGAGCATTTAGCTAAATCAGTGTTCAAAAATAAATTACAACAGCTAAAAATGGGAGACTTAGATTTCAAACTCAATGTTTTTTGATTAATGATTTTTCTTCTCTATTTTTCCATCAAATATAGCTCCAAACAAAGCCTGCAGTGTTTCATTGCTGCTAAATTTGCTAGAAACAGATTACATATTTAAAGCATGATGGTCATTACAAAAGGTTCATTGATTGAAATGATTCTTTCATGAATAGATTTTATTTTCTTTGATTGTTACAAAACCATTTCTTAAT